AATAGACCCAAGAAAGTCACTACCAAATTCCTTGATCATACTGGTTAACTGACTTGAAGAGCTATTATTGCCACCCACGAAGAACATGGTGCTTTTGACTTGAATAAGCCTAACTCAACTAAATCCTTTAACTGTCGAGGAAAACTTTTTATCGAATTCGAAATGTCATTTCGAAAATGCCCTAAAAAAATCCACCTTTAAAATACTCTTTTCTTAGAATCTTTTTTTAAACTTAAATCTTTATAAATTATAAACAATCATCTTCTTCTCAAGAGGTTCTTTAAAAATTTAATCCTAATCCAAGTTTAATTTTTCAATCGATATATTAGAGGAATACGTCTTCAATTGGTAGATTTAATCATAAGGAAAAGCTGCATAGATAATTACCTGATTGATGCAATTAGTCTCGAAGAGCGCATAATCGATTAGATTAGTTACTTATAATTGAAACGCATTCGAATGTCTTATTCCCTTCATCCATTATTCCATATTCTGCCGTGATCAATTGCCTGTAAGAAAGGAAATTAATATTTAGAGAGATAAAAAGCATATCATGTAGTAGACTTATCAAATGTGATTAAATCTAACAAAAAAAATAGTTTTTCAAAAAAGAGTTTCAAGCGGAAAGACCTCGACCCAGTCATAAATCCCCCAGGAGACCAAAATCCCAAAAAAAACTGATAAGAATGTATATAAATACGTGGAAAATGGTCTCAAGGGTAAAATCTCGTATAACGATATGGTTTCATAACGTTTCATGGGAAAATTAAATACTGCCTTGTAACCCAAACAAAAGATGCGCTTGATGACGAATAAAAAGAGAAGAAACATCTCATCTTGTTGGCTTGAAAACCTGAGAATAATTCGTTCATCATCATCAAAGCTTAAATCTTCCAAACATCTTAAAAGTTTGTAGTCTTTGAAGATCTGGAATCGACCGTAAAAAGTCTGGGAACATGCCTTCCAGATGAGTCTCGTATCGTGTATCAAAAAGAAGCGACGTCTATTAGTGGGTACCTGAGCGTTTTTAACAGACGACACGTGCCACTTGTGAGTATCTTGTCTTATCGACCGAAAAACAGTGGCTCTGGTTAGTCGCACAGAAATGCTCCCGATATAGTACTTTAGCTACTTTTTTATGGCACCAACTGGTTCCCGCCGGTAAGATTAGTTGAGTAAGAACATTATAATGACTTTTTCCAGCGTCGTCGGATGCTTGAGAATATTTACCTTCTTAGGAAGGGCGGAATCGTTAGCCAGATTTCTTCATTATCTATTCGTCGTTTCCATTAAAAACATCCACTTCATATCTAAATATCTTAAAGTCATCACACTAGCATTTTGAACATGGTGAAAACGTCTCTACATAGTTAATCTCTTCTTTATGTTGATTCAATGATGCTTGTCATATATTATAAACTGAAAAAAAAATAAATATTTCATGTTATACACGCTATTTGACTATTTATATTTCTATGCAAGTATATGACTACTTGTCTGCAGATAAAACACAAGAGCTTATTGCAATAATATTAGCTAGATCATTAAGTATTTTCACACACGTGATATTGCAATTTATAAAAGATGATATCAAGGAATTTAGAGGTTAATATATTGTTGTGTTGCTTTCGACTTTGTAGCTAAAAAGGTTTCTTATTTGATTCAATCGTCGAAGTTGAAAAGTAAGATCAGATGCGTCAATCAAAAAATACGAGCGTGAAGAATCGATTGTCTGAAATAGTCGAGGCCACTTGCCCGTTAATAGTCTGTGTGTGTAACATGTCTATAGTTATATTACAACATATATTGAATATCCAACGTATCCTTACCTGTGTGATGATCGTCGAGAGGCTCTATTATCGCCCGCCACCAAGCAGCCCACTGAATGTCAGCAAGAGAAACGAATGGGATGACATCAAGAACGCATAAACGGACTCCAGCCATTGTGAGCTCCACCCAGGGGATCAAACCCTCTAGGTTTTGGTTTTATATGTGACTAAACCACGTGTGGGCTTGATACAGCTAACATATAGGTGTTTTTAAAAACATTGTCGCGGGAAAACAACCAGGGAATTTATCATGGGAAGCCGTCTCATTCCATTACATTCCAAAAGGTTCAGAATCACCCCTGGTGTGTAAGTTTACTTGTACAATGATGATTCATACGTACTTCTCAGGGGTTAATAAGTGGAGGTTGACGATGTAGAGTCGAGGATTTATACGATGGAAAGCTGAATCGTAAATTACTAGGAAAAAAGAGATAGAAAACAAAGGTGTTACAGACATCACGAGTAAAATATATAAACTGAAGTTATTTAAAGTCAATTGTACCTGAATAGGAGGCTCGATATGCTGTAACAAAAAAGATGAGGGTGTGTGACTGCTGCTTATTGTCAGAACAGTCTAAAAGTCTGCAGGAATGAGACTGCATGGAGACAACTGGACACATTTTTAGATGCAAACTTGATGGCGATAGTATCTCTTTGTTTACAGGGTCCAAACGAGCACCCCTGATGTCTCAGCACACATCTCGCACCATTACTCAGTTTCAGATGTTATAAACACTCGTAGCATGACTACGAGGACGAGAGAGGCCGCCCATCGTGCGTGGGATCTTGCGTAAAAATGAGTTGTGTCAGCGTATGGTCTTGACCTCCCGCATGCTTCTCGTCAATATTGCAAGTCTCTTCTTTACGGCTATTATCGTCGCCAGATTTTTATGAAAAGAAGAATCAACTCAATTTCATTACCTGGAATAATTGATTTAGTAAATTATTGACCAAAAAATAGTGTCGCTTCTTTATAGATTAGCTTCCTCAAAGAAGCAAAAAGAGTAGAAGCGATGAGGTCAACATAATTAAAGTCCCGGAGATCGATTGAATTGCACGAGTGCAGACAATCTAATGATCAGTTTCAGGTATAGGGAGCCTTTGGATTCATTCTTTTCGCTTAGCTCTCAGCGGCACGTGCGAACGGAAATGTAGGGGCTCGAAACGCAGAAACGGGAGGCAGTCATTTGATCATTTGATGGAATTACTCGGGAGGAAAGAGAGCGGCGCCGTGTCTCTCGGGTACGAGTGAGCGTTGCGCCCTGTGGTTACTTCAATTAGGTGAAATCGTGCTTTATCGGCACCGCTACAGCATTTCCAGTCATGAGACTGCAGTAGAGTTGAGAACAGAACAGCGTGTACAAATTTACCGCGGGATACGTGATTCTACCCTCTATATTATCGCTAATCATCTCGAATCGATGACTTCACCCAGAGATAGTTATGAGCATTGAAAACTCATTCGTATCCTGCATGTGTCGCCATATCCAATCATCTTCTGCGTTGTTTCTCTTCACTATCATTGAATTTCTCTGGCAGTCGGTTCGCATCCATTCCACACGCACCCGTAGACTAATAATCACTCATGACAGGATGTACATAGATTAGTTTCTGCTCCTGGGACTCTGCTACGGTCTCACTATCTTCTTATATGCTTGCTATTATCCAGTGAAACTTTAATACCAAGGAGCATATCATGAAAGTCGCTTATCTACGCATTATCCAGAATGTATTTTCTATTACTAAGCATCAACTAATCTTGATCTCTTCAATCCGCAGTCGGCACGTGACACGAAAAAACCGCGGACAGATCTCCTAGAAGGTTAATAGTCATCTGGCGATAATAACCTCGAATACCCTCTTGAAAAAACATTCCACGTACTCTAGTACGTATGGTATGCTTGAACGTGAATACTTGAGAGAAAAGAATATCCATGATTCACCGCGGGTGTTCGTGTCAGTATCAAAATGTGATCCGGGTTTTGAAACATGTTGAAAAAGATTTCAAGTAAAGAACTCATTAACGTCATATACTTCAAACTTGAAAACTCATTTCTGAATTCGTAGAATCTTGTCAGATGGTATATGTTCATTTAGCTAAATAACCGAAAATAAGTCAATGAGTGAAAACATCATATAGAAATATGGAATATGAATTAGTAATTACTAATAATAACATGAAGCGGTGTCAGCTGAACTACTTGGGAAAAAATTAACTTTTTATCAAGTTGATAAGAGTTTTGTAATGGTTTAATTATCTAAAGTAGACTTAAAATTAACTTGAAGATGTAAAAACCCTTTCTACTATATTTAGCTACCTTTTTTTGAGAGAAGGAAATGAGGAAAGCCTGGTTAATATTTTTGATAAGTTGAGATTACAACTTAATTAAATTGAATATATTACAAATAGTCACTGTGAGAACAGTATCATGGATATAAAAAGATAAGAAAACATATCTTTATCAAGTAAGAAGTATTTCAATACATACTATAATATAATATTGTATTATTATACATTATTATATTGTTAGATTGTAAATATTTATAGAAATATAAAAATTAAGTAAAAATACCTGCATTGAATTATTATTCAGGTTGAATTTAATGATAAGCACAGTGAAGAGTTGTAAAATAGTAGATGCTAAAAACAGTAAATAGAATCCATTAATGATTGAAACTCAAAATAAATATTTTCAACAAAAAATTATTTATTTAATCTTACTTGATCCTTCGACAAAATAAATAATATTTCTTCATGCCTTTCTCCAAATACTTTTTACCGCTTTTTTGGCTAAGGAGTAAAGCGTCATACATAATACATCTGGTGTTTTTGTAGTTTACTGAACCTCAGATATATATTCTTACAGAACGCAAATGGATATTAATATTAATCATATATTCATGAGTTCTCTTTTCATTGTAGACATTAAAAAATAATTTTTTACAATTTCTTCAAAAATTTTTGAAATACACGATGCAAATCAACTTTTCTTGTCGAGAGACCGAGCGTCATATTCAGAACAACTGCCGCCATCGTAGAATTTAATTCGGAATTTTCAATCAAAGAACCAACAGTCGATAATTATCGATTGTTGACCATCTATCTTTGATAAAATAGAAATCTATTTACCATTTCTCCGGTTTCTTCATTCTTGTGGTGATTTAGCCTTCTCATGAATTTATATTTTCATAATCAAACGTAACCTGAATCATTTGCAAGCATTCTCTTCGCAAATCGCGTGTGAAAACGAGAGTTCACAATTGAAGAAATCTATAATCATGTCGAGGAGACATCCAGAGAGCAGCTATCGAAAAGGTTTACTTAATTCTATTCGTAATAAAACTACACTGTTACTGTGACATTCACCAATTACTTCCCTTCATTTTTATTATTTATGTAATGTAATTATATTGCACCAACCGTTATCAATATACGTGACACATTTTTCACTCATTTAAATACAATTTCATCGTTTTATATCATCGCTGAATTTTATGGTTCTCAAGGACTTGATGGTCACATTATATAACAATCCTTAATTAATGTTATAATTTTAGCTCATTTGATTGAGATGGAAATCATAATCGCATGAACTTTACAATTATAGAAAATTACTTACAACCAATTAAGAAAATGTTATTTTCTAATGGTGTCATAGTTCATCTATAAAGAAAATAATATTTTTGATAATAAACTTGCTGTTCGAGGTTTGAAGTATCCAAATATTTATATTTACTATCAACTAATAGACTGTTGGAGAAATATATCTTTCACTTAATGTCACATTTGAATATGAATATTAAATTAAGAATACGTATGATTCATTTAATAAGCTAATAATGAAAAAAATGCATTAAAAATTTTTAAGTCATTGTAGGCATGTTGCTTGTAATTTTCTGGTTAATAAATCAGCTTTGTTTAACTTAATCTGAACTTTGCCAGTGTTTGACATTATCAGGGTCAAATACCTACAGAAGAGAGGACAGCAGCGACGAAGACGAGAGGTTGAGAGACAGATCACCTTTGCGATCACATGATAGACATGATAGACATGACAGACAAGAATCATCAAGTTATCTTCCAGGAGATTCTAAGAAACAAAAACTTACTTTTGGTTTTGGAAAGAAACCATCAGCAGACCAGAAAAAAGGACTTCAAATCAAATTCGGATCTTCATCGGTAAGTTTGTTACTTTTCGAATATGCTTCATAATTTAATTGTTACATAAAAATAAGTCTTCTTTAAATTGATATTTTTTTAGAAACCTTCCAGTGCACCTGTAGTACCAACAAAACCAACAGTTGCATCAGTATTTAATGCTGATGAAGATGACGAGCCTGAAGAAATGCCGGCTGAGGCGAGAATGAGAATGAGAAATATAGGAAGAGAAACACCAACATCAGCAGGTCCCAATTCATTTGGCAAAACGAAACAAGGTTTCTGTGATTCAAAGAAAATATTTGAAAAGACGCTTAAGAAAGCCATGGAAGAGGCTAATAAATGATTCTTCAATTTAATATATTTAAAAGTTGTACATTAATTCTTTATGAACGTCAATTGATGCTCCAAAGGCAAAAATCGAATTGTAACGATATATATTAAGAAATATTTAGAGAATGTCAATTTGAGTATTTTTAACTTTACTACAACATTTATAAAATGCATTCTGATTATTGTAATTCAATCTTTCTGCACGGTTCAGTAATTAACGAACTTTCACACATCGACAGCATAATGAATTTACTATTTAGTACGTTTCTAATTAATGGACTTTTAAATTTACAACTTGTTAAGTAAATACTGTTTCATGTTAAATTTATCATGATATCTTTAAAAATGTCTTCAAATACTTTTTTATAATTTTTTTTTGATGTAAAATATTAAAGTTATTAAATAATATTAATGAAGAGGAATAGTTGCAATTATATATTATTTGTAGTAAGACTGAAATATTTCAAATAAAAAATTATCGATCGAGTTCTCCATATTGTTGTTGGATATAATAGCTTTTTTTTACTTTAAATTAAACATCGTTTTTATGTATCAAATCATCGAATTAAAATTGCTCTTTAGTGTTATTTTTCGAGAATAATAGGAAATTTTATCTCTTATTAATGAATCAATCATGGATACTCTTTTATTCTTTTTTATAATTTTATTTATTTTTTTTTAATTAAAAGAAATACATCTTATTTTATTTCCTGTTTTGTTGAGGACCACCTTGGCGCATATCCTGAAAAATAAAATATTGAAATTAAAAACAAATAGTCCAATGTTTAAGCTCAAATCATTCATTTTAACATTTTGTATTTTCTTTTATTATAAGTAAAATGATTAATTGATGATTTTTTGAGTTTATAAGAGAGTAATTGATGGTTCAAATAATTTTTTTCAAATATAATTACCCGGGGGAAGTTACGCTGTGGTGGTGTTCGGATTCGACGATCTGCCTTGGATCTGTTACGTACAACTTTCGAGTGAATAGCACATGATACGCAGTAATGTAATTTTGCGTAAAGTTTTGGGAGCTGGTAAGTATCATAAACACTAGCTTCGTTAATGTCTCTTACAGCAGCTGCTTCAACGATGTTACGAATCACAAATTTTTTGATGGCCTTGTCTTTGGGCACACAACGAGCACAGTTGGTGCAGCGTACAGGATTTACATGACCACGGCCGTGTTTGGCACGTCCACCGTTTCGACGTTTACAAGTCTGAAAAAACAATAAATGTAAATTAATTGTCTGTTTAAATACATATGTGTGGTTTATGAGATTTGTTTCTCATTGAATTAAATTTGACAGATTCATTTGAATCACTCTAACGTTTTCTTGAAGAAAAATTATATCTATTGAATGAATATCTTTGAACTCGTTTCTTAGTTTGGAGCATATTGGCTTGATTAATGAGAAAGCAACCGCCACTTTTTAGGTTATGAATACACTATTGAAGTCATAGAATCTAAAGAAGAAGTTTAAAAAGATAAACAGACGTATATCGACAACAAGTTATATGAAATATGATATTAAAAAATTATTAAATGAATATAAAATAATTTTCACTGATTTTTGATTGAATTAAAGTAAAAACGCCACATGGCTTGTACACTAAATGTCACTTTAGTTAATAAATCGACACAGGAAAAGTTAAATTGGTATTAAAAAAATGGAAATAATCCAACTTATTAACTATTATATTTTCCAAAATAGTAATTAATTAACTTTTTATTTCTCGAATTGTTATTTACAGAGAATAATGATTTTATTATTACCATTTTAGTTTGGTCAACGACGATCGAGAAAGAGAAACCGGAAACACGATTCTGTGCGCATGTCCATGCTAGTCGACATAATGACTGAAAAATAAATTTTTCATTATACGGAGTATCTATGAATATATAACGACAAATATTTTTAATTTTTTTCTGCTTTGAATTAATAGGTACTTGATTAATTTAAATGATTTATTAACAAAATTTTCATTTTGTTTTGGTATAAAAATAACTTTTGTCGGTTATGTAGGAATTATATTTTGTATTTGCCATAAGCAGGTAACCTTTATGACACTGCCCTCTGCCAGAATTTATCAAAGTTATTCAAAATGGACGCATGAAGATGTTTAATAATATGTTTCTGTAAACAAATTCAGCAAGTTGTATAAAAATAGAGGATCAACAAGAAAATAACCACTACCAAATCTGTTTCAATTACAAAATAATTGTACGTCTGCAACTGTAATAATTGAGATTGGTTAATTATTAAATTTTAATAGTAATTAAAATCTATGACAATGGTTGAAGAAGTAACGAGCCCGTATAAATCAAAGGTCAGACTAGTTTGATTGAGATATTCGAGATATTTTTTTGGCTGATCATGAAGAAAAATGCTTTCATTTATTTATGTTTCTTCTTGTAGAATAAAACTGCCAGACCCAGGCCTGTTTATTTATGGAATGTATTGGACGTACAAAAATGGTTGAGACGTCATTGCAGTGATTACTATCAACTTTATCATGAAAAGTTTCTCTACGTAAGTTTATACAATGTAATAAAAATGAAATTATTTTATAGTCAACTATTTGATGCTAATTATTATAGTATTTATCAGATATTATTTATAAGTAGTATGATATCTTTATTTAATAGTAAGTATGATAATATTCCATCGATGTAAAATTGATTAGTGAAATTCAAATTACAGCATGATATAACTGGTCGAGTACTTTTGAGAATCAACGAAAATATTCTTCTTCGATTAGGAATTAATAATGAAGAACATAGAGAATTTATTTGGCGAGAAATAATGAAACTTCATCTAAAAACAGATATTTTAGAACTTCGTGATATAGAACGTAGAAACAATATGAATTATGATTAGGCAAATATTGTTTGTTTTCACGCTATTAATCAATTAAAATTTTTAAATTGGATACAGAGAATAAGGTATTCTGAAAAACTATTATTTACAGTGCTATGGGATGTTTATGAATGATTTTATAAATTATTTATAATTTTTATTTTAAAAAAAATGACTTGATTATTTAATAGCATCTTTCTTCATTAATCTCATTTAATCTTGTTAATTATAAGTCTTTCCGGTTTCTTCCGGTTTCCAATCTATAAGTTGATTCGGTTTCCATTTCTCACTTATTTACTAAATTGATTTTCTTAAAATAAATTTTTTCACATCGCACCTTACTTTTCATATTACACAAGTTTTCAATCATGCTTATTAACTATTTAACACTAGGAAAAATAAGAATTTTATAATTGGAACTATCAACTATTTTAAAAAATATTTTAAATTATTAATTAATTAACATATATACATATTAATTTTCAATACTCTGCTTAACTACTATAATACATGTAATCTTCAAGAAATATTGTTAAATGATATATTTTTGTACGAACTAGTATATTTTTGTTGTAAAAAAATGTATGTTTTTGCTTTATATTAAAGATTTTAATAGAAATATGAAAAATTAAGTACTATATTTAGCACGAAATTAATTAATACATTATAATCTTTTTTTTCTTTTTGTATTTACAAGAATAAAGTAATTCAAATATGTTATTTACTTTTCCACAATTATTTTTGTACATGGAAATATCTTATTTACAATTTTATTTTTTCAATATATGACTAGAATAAGAGTATGCAATTATTCGATACTCACACACCTTACTGTATCAATTACAAAAACATTCACAAAAAGCATACATTTTATCATTTTTTTATTATCATACACGTAATGATTGAATTAAGTTCATCAAATATAGAGTTTTATCAGAGCATTCACAATTCTTCGTGACCATTTCGATTTTGCACATGCTGGTGTTTATTAGAAGAATAAACGTAAAGTTCAGAAGCATATGTTTCATTATCTGTGGAAGTCTGATGGATATTTCGTTGATTACTTTGAGCATTGTTGATATTAATATTACTATTCCTTTCCTGTGTGTGTATACGTGAGGAATCTCGTAGAGAAACGCTTCTACACAAAGGTGCACCTTGTGTATAACTCCTAGATGTTGTTTTCCGCCAGTCGTACCTGAAGTTGAAATGAAATGAAACAGTTATAAAAATTATTTTGCTTTTTTTAGTTCTTGAATGAAAATTACTAAACTGAATTGTTCGTAGAAAATATTTGTAATAATATTTTGTAGAATTAAAAAAGATCTTAAGTTCATAACAAAACAAATAATATAGTTTATAAAAAAAACTTTTTAAATAGAGAAAAAAGTAGTATTATAGGTCACTTTTTGTTTTTATTCAATTACATTCTACTCTGTTAAATTATTATCAATTATCACTTTTCGAAGTTTCTGTTTATTGTCACAAAGTTATTTTTCAATATCTTTGTATATTTGGGTTAGTTGATGGAAGACGCACCGTTCTTGCATAATAAATGAATGGACCATATTAAATATGGGGCCATAATCCTACCTTCTCTTCTAAGTATTTTAATAATATTTCGTAATTTAAATATCGTAAATTTAATATTTAATTAAAATGATATAAAAATTACCGAAGAATATATTTGAATGACGTCCTCGTACTTTGGGTTTTGTCAGTATCAATAGGATTATTTGGTGTCCAATTTTTAGTTTTAAATGGAAACCTTTGTTGAAATTCTCTCTTGAACTTTTCCTAAAAAATTACAAATTTAATTTCATTATTTTGATAGGCATTACTTTGTCAGAATACTAAAAAATGAAAATCTTTTATAAATACTACGGATTCACCATGAGTTAGAAATTATGAATTTTCCTTTAGAAAGTAAGTTCTAATGTATAAATTTTCGCTAATTGTTTTTCATTCTATGAAGTTATTGCCTGTTCTGGTTTTACTTAAACTCTTGACAACTCTCTTGCTAAAATCTAAAGCAAATTACTTTCGTAATTGAATTTATTGTCAAGACATAATAGAACACATGTTATGTCTGTAATTTTAGTCGATTATTCTGATAATTATTAATATACAATATTTTACTGATTCACATTAAAAAAATCATAACTTTCATATCACATAATAGATGTTTTCTTAAAAAATAATCAATAATCACTTCAACAAAATAATACAACTTAAATTTAATTTTAATCCAAAATATTGAAGAGGAGACTTCTTAAAAGATAATCAATAATCACTTCAACAAGATAATACAACTTAAATTTAATTTTAATCCAAAATATTGAAGAGGAGATTATTTTGGATTAATTAACATAAACAGATCAATGAGACGATTCTTGAAATAGGTTGTAACTCACATTGTAAATTCCATAAATGAAAGGATTGTAGCAACTGTTCGACATTGCTAGCCAATCAAAGCAAAACCAAATGATGTTGATATAACGGTATCTAAAATGAATTATTAATTTTCATTGAAAAAATTTTTATTTAAATTGCAATGGAGAACGCTCTTTTTCATCTATTAATATAATTTCAGAAGCAATTTACTTACTCATTTATTTCTGGATAAGTGTATTGAAAAACATTATACGTCTGAAGTGGAAGCCAGCAGATTGCAAATAGTGCAACTACTATTACCAACATTTTAATTACCTGAAAGTAAAAATGATATTTAATCAATATATATATATATATATATAATCAATATAATGATATTAAATTAAAACATCATAAATGATTACCTTTTTTTTATTTTTCATGAGATTAGCATCACGTGAGTCTTGAGCATTTCCTGGAGTTTTATTACCCCAAAGTCTGAATGCCATGCGTGTATACACGCAGGATATTATTGAAAGAGGAGTTAAATACTGTAAAAAACCAAGTAATGCTCTGTAAATGAGCATTGATTTTTCAGATAAGTTTTCGTTTTGGCAGAAAGGTTTCAAATGAATTCTACCTGTTTGAGAATAAAAACAATTATCATTAAAATTGTTATTATTAGAGTAATTGTAGTTTCACTAAGTGATGTAATAATAAGTTAAGGTAACTAATCAAAAGCTCTTTTTTGTTAGTAACAGCGTTCTAGTTCCAATTATGAAAATGTTCATTCAAATATTATGTAATCACAACGTGTGAATTCATCATGTAGAAAGACGTAGAGACGTGAAATACTGTTGACATAATTATTTCAAAGTTGTCATGTTTTTTTTTTTTCACAATAATCTTTAATTTAAATTTATTAATAACATGACGTTGTTAATTGTATCAGGTTTAATTTGTTGTTTAACTTGGTTTATTGATAAAATTTCAAAGGAAAATAAATGTAGAGATATTTATCAATATTTCAATCATAGCATAAATTGAATTTAAACTATTCATAATAATGACAGTAAAATATTTTTATTAATTTTGTATTAAATGCATTGACAAAATTCTATTGTAGAAGGGAATGCTATTGAATAAAATAAAGTCAGAGTATAAAGAAATAATTTTAAAAATATTTTGATATAAATTTCAATATATTATCTGTCGAATAGGATTGATATAAATGATCTTGACAAATATTCAACTTACCACCGATATTTTCAGGAACGTCGATAACTCGTAAAGCAGCTGCCATCGGTGCCGCAAGAATCGCACTTAATAGCCAAATCCCAGCGATGATCGTCTTTGCACGTAGTTTGCTTGGTCGTGCACTGAAATAATATGTTAATGAGTGTTCGAAAGGAAAAGCTTTGATCAATCATCTTATATTAATTAGGACGGAATCTTTTAAAAAAGATCAAAAGCAGTTAACTACTTATTTTTTTTTTTAAATATTCTCCAATAACCTCAATTATTTAAAGAAAATAATTTTTATCGATATTCTTCTGAATTAATTGCCAATCGAGAAAATTTAATTGCTTACTCAATCTTTTTTAAATTTAAAAAGTAAAGTATGAATGATTGACAACAATTTTTATAATTCATTCGTTTTCATACTATTTATTAATAATTTTCACTTATTATTTCATTGCTATCTCAAAAGAACAATTAAAATGTCAAAGGACCCTAACTTTTTACAAGTTCTTATATTCAATTAATTAAGATTGATGTATTTTTCTATAATTAAAAGTAATTGTTTCATTAAAAAATTAGAACAATTGATGATAGTTTTTTCTAAGAAAATATTTGATAATCAATAGTAAGTTTTTGATGAATAGTCAAAAGTATGTAGTACATGTTGCATGTCAATCACTGATGATAGATTGAATTAGCCCATGATTTAACTGATTTTTTATTATTAACCAATTTTACACGTCAATATTGATTGAATTAATAAGTTAATTATATAATTATACGTTATAAGTATCTAGTATTGTCACGTGAAATCAATATCAGAAGAAAACATTTGAACAAATAATAAATATATTTATTTGAGTGTTTACTCGAAGACGTAATATTAAATCAAATACTTTAACACTTAGCAAAATATTACTTCTTGAATTGATATATTGAAACGTTCAACTTAAAAAGTTTTTTAACTCGAGTGATGAATATTAGAGACAATAGAATGAATTCTGCTATCAGCAAAGAAGAAAATAACAGTATATTAATTAAAAGAAAAGTTTTATTAATTACAGTTTTACTATTATGTAATAAGAATAATGATATTGTCAATAATGACATGAAATCAAATGGTTAAAGGTCTCAGAACGATCGCCAGTTGCAGACTTTTACGAGGATACAACGAAAAATATAAAAAAATCATAAAAGATCAAAGATGATGAAATTTTAAATTAGTAGTATAATAATTTAATTTATTCAAATAAAGGTTTCAATTATTTTAATGAATTCTGAATTGCAAAACGAATCTTTTTAAAAAATATTTAATTTTTGTTTTTTTCTTTGACTACGTTTCTACAATTTCATACCTCAAAGGGTTAAGTATTGCACGATGTCGATCTACTGCAATTGCCGTCAGAGTAAATACAGAAACATTTACACAAAGTACTTGCACAAATGGACAAAAAGCACACATAAAATGCGGTAAATTCCAGCGTTGAAGTAATGCTGCTTGAAACTATGAAAAAAAATTCTGAATTATTCAAGTGGCAAAAATATCCACAACATCAACTTTTCAAAAATTCCAAAGAAGATAGACTGCATGAAAATTAGAGTATTTGTACATTTCGTGAAACATTAGTCCGATTTAAAAGCAAATTAAACAAATATTATTGTAGGAAAAAACTGTAATTTATTTTCCGAAAGGATTTTGAATAGTAATCTCTCTACTTTAAGTTCTTTTTTTCTTCAAATTCTTTTATTTCTGTTTTCAGAAATTTCTCTTTTTAGAGAGAAAAATGGTTTATGCATTTTTCTAGTGATTTGTGGTTCAATCTTTGGCCAAATTTTTTTTATTTTTTAAATGTATATATTTTATTAAAAAATAATCAGACTGAAAAGATATTTCACAGTTTTTTTTAGAACCTGGTTCGATTTGATTAATTTAAAAAATTTTTTCATGTAATTGAATGATACAAATGACAAAAAAAAACACTAATATTTAACTTTTAACTATTCTCACTAATTTTTCGACTACATAAACGAAATCTAATAGAGGGTTTTTGAATAACTTTTTTTTTAAAGCATTGAAATATGGTTTAGCTATTCGTGGAGTTTTTCTTTAGTAATTTCATTTAAATTGAAAAAAAAATAATTTTAACAAATATTCCAATTAGAAAAAATTTAATTTTGACATCATATTTTTATTCGTTTGTTGTTCTATACAGCTATTTTTATTTTTGATTTAAGCTACAAAAAATTTTATGCAATTTATCTCTGAAATTCTTTATTCAAAAAATTGATTTAATTCAACATACTTGGAATGGTATCACAAATAGACCAATGACAATGTCAGCAAGAGCAAGGTTAGCAATGAACGAATTGGTAACACTTTGCATTCTCCTAGAAGTAGCAATGATCCACATCACAAGGGAATTGCCCACAACAGCAAGTACAGATATGCTTCCATAGCAGATACTAAGGAGGAATATAATGCCAACAGGAACATCGTACAGGCTGTCTATAATCAGATAGATTAGAATAAAAATAAAATATTCATGATTTTGTTAAACATGTTGTAGAATTATTCTGTTTGTTCTTTATTTATCATTTGTATGTTTTATGTAAGCATTCAGTTTGATCAGATATTTCGAACATAAAGAATATTGGCCTAGACATCACATCCCTTCGTTTCCATTTCATCATTTTCGTTTTATAGTTTAAGAAAAATGATAATGGATGATAGTGGATTCAAAGGATCTTGAAAATATGAGGTAATTTGTAAGAACAAAGCCTGAAGATAACTCGTATTTTCTTTCTGCACCAATCCGGTGATAATGCATTGATAATATTTTTTACATCGTTTGCTAAGCGAAAAATGTGCTGGATAAAATGTGTGGTATGAAACTCGAGGGTGAATATTATGGTTATCTCATCAGCTTAAATATTGGTTGAATAATTTGAATTTTCAAGATACTGTTGAAGAAGTAATTGAGTTAGATAGTCGTTTGCATACTATCACTTACCAAAGTCTTCATATAATGTATCGTTCTCAGTGAATTCGTAAGTCATGTTGGTCATTGATGGCCATGGTGGCTCAATACTTTCATCCTCGGAGTACCACGAAATGTTGGTCATGCTGAGGAATGGTGATCTAAAAAAAAAATAAAATAAAATTTTTATATGGATATATCTGCTTACATATTTACTTGTAAATTTTGTGTTAGATTATTGATGATTTCCAGAAGGGTCATAAAAGTTTTGAGACTTATTGAGACTTTTGGATTTATATGGCTTGACTTCTTGATTAATAGTTTGTAAATTTTTTCGGTGCAGAAATTTTTATCATTTACGAATATTATTTTTAGGGATTTAACGGTGTTTTTCTTTCTCCAACATTTGACCTAGGAAATTCTGAAGGCCAGATAGTGGACACAGACCTTTTTTTACCAGTAAATTTACATTATTCATTCACTGTCAACAGTCTTTAATGTTTTGTTTTTTGAATTTATAAGTTAAAAGAAGCAAGAATTATTTTATTTAAATGGATTAGATTTCTAAAAGTTGATTATACATATCAAATTTGCCATTATATATAATTTCTGGATGTGGAGTCCAATATAATAGTTTTTGAGTGGACTTCTGTATGTGGGTGTGTTCGTATGTGCGTTCGGAATTATTTCTCGCTTCGATTATCTCGAGAACAAAACATGATATCAACGTGGGAACAATTGCATTCGAAACATAATTACGCAAATTAAAACTGATTAAGTTTTCAGCAAAACCAGTCTAGCTATTTTTAATGCAGAATCAAAAAACTGAAAGAAATAGTAAACTAGCTAAATTTTATCATTTTTTCCCCAGATCACTGGAGAGTACTGATATTTTTATTTTATTTTTAAGTTAAAAATCTTTCTCGGCATTACTTCTAACAACCAATCAACACTTAAATTATGACGATAACCGGTCATGCCTTTTTTTAAGAAAGAATCACATTTCACCTATTATAGAGAAATACTTTTTTTTCAATTATTACAAATAAGTTAATGATAATAGTAGAGTAAACAATAGTTAGCTCTTTTTGCGACAAATATAAAGATGATAGAAATAAAATATGTTTTACTCTAACTGCTTTTTCTTCTGATTATTATTATTATTATTATTCTTATTATTGTTATTAATTTAATAATGTTCATAATGATGATAACTACGTATAGAAAAACACTCTTCCCATTCTACTGAGAAAATCAATCTAAATTCTTTCAGGTAAGTATAGTCATCATTAAAGTACTGATTAGATTAAAACAAATAACAACATTCTTCGTTTTTCAAAAACTTTTTTCTCAAAAATACATATCATGAATTCCCTTGTATATCTCAATATATCTCATCAACTTGTGAATTTTGAAGTCAATATCTTATATAAAAATTACTTATATTTCGTTTTTCACTTCAATTCTTTTTATTCAACCAGTTTTCGAGCGAAAATTTTTATCAAAAGTGAAAATAAAAATTCATCTAATAAATAAACAATTTTTTTTTCTCACATAGTGTTGTAATTTACCTCAAAAAGCAAAGCAATTTTTTCAAGCGAAAAATTAAATGTTGACAATAAGTTAATATTGATAACCATATTGTCCATAATTTATTTTCTGCTACTACGCCAGATCAATTTACATAAAATTATCTTGAAGGTTTTTTTTCAGAGATAACTCGTTCAGTAAAGTCAACCATCAGTTAGAAATATTTCACAGATAAAATTAGATATTCAAATTATTCTGGTGAGTTTATCTATGATGTGAATAAAATAAAAACTGTTGAGAACTTGGCTTGATTTGCAGAGATTTTAAAGTAGTTTTTCGTTATTGTATTCTTGAAATGACGTTGTAAGTAACTTAAGCACCTCAAGACCGATTTATTCGTATTAATCATGGCTTTCTATATAATCCAGACGGTAACTTTGTAACTTAAATTTTATATAACTCTCGTATCTTGTTCGCGACGCGACCCATGTCTAGACGATTAATCGTAAGGTAAAGCTCGGAAATCCATGCCTATTCTTCATAAGGAATAAGAAAAAATACACATTCGAGAAAATTAGAAATCTGTTGGGAATAAAAAGCACAAAATGTATCACATTTTAGTGATACAAATGATAGCGATATTTAATTCTATTCTACTAAATTTCCTGTACAGAATATTTTGATTATTTAAATTGCTGTAACGTTCGCAAATGGAGATGCTTTTAAGCAAAAAAAAATTACCTGCTGAATTTCATGAAAAATTTTAATTACCTTATGTTTAAATAAAATTGAGCAATAAATAACCATGATTGTGCTTTTGTAAATGAATAGTCGAGAAAAAAACTGGCAGATTTTTTTTTCTTTCAGTATAGTTAACAGTTAATAATGAGTCTTAACGTTGTCACAATAATAAGAAATGATAAGGCTTAGTACGTCGATCTAACTGACGACCAAAGAGATAATAAGCAACAGCTCGTTTTCGAATTAATCTTCCTGATAGACGCTAACATTAATCAGCGGACCTTATCTACCAGGACTTGTACAAACTTCGGTAGATTTAGCAAACCAAGAAACAAAAAAGCAAACGTTATTGAAAGCATATTATTGTTCTTCTTGAAATCAATAAAGTTACTTTAGTGAAATTTCATCGAGATTTCACGAACATTCTAAAGTAAACTAACTTTAATCTTTTCCATCAGTTTAATTTTTTTTAATTTGATTCTCTAATTTGTTTGCTCTTTTTATTATCATTCTTTTTAATATAAATAATTATTATAATGAATATTTATTCTTTCAACAACCAAAGCCACTAATTAATCCATGATTTGATAAAATTTTGACCACTTTATAGATAATATTTTTTTGTAATGTAAAACTTTATCCTGATGAGTAATAACACTTTAAAAATCCAAACAGTTGAATTTATGTTAATATTCCATTTGATATTTAATAGTTAAATCCTCCTGTTTTTAACAATGTCAATTATAATGATATGCATGCATGTTCTATTAATAATTTATGGAAACTTTGTTCAAGTACTCTAGTAGTATTAAAATTAAACTCTGATTTACTTTGATGAAGTATGTAACTATTAAACTATTGGTATATTCGTACAAATATTACTTACTCACGGATGAGTAAAAGTTATGTGAGTACAAAACTTGTTGACATTAAATTAGAAAATCAAAACAGTTTCACTAAGCTTTAAATCCAAAGTTTTCTTGATCCATATGAAAACCGATAGAGAAATTAATTTACTGATACTGATTTTAGATTCAAAACTAGAATGAATACTTAACTTAAAACTAAATTATTACGAAAAAATCGCTTCATTATAATTTAAAAATCTAACATCATCATTATTATTGTTGAGACGTTTTTTGAATACAGTTTACCATCAACTTCTGGTTTTTATTGACACATAAGGTATCTATTCACTAATGTATCATTGTTCTGATAATTGTATAAGTATTTGTATGAGTACGTAAATTCATCTTACCTACAGTATCACTCAAAAATATTTTGACATTTACATTTCCCTAAATTGCTTATTGCCATGGATGGAATTTGCTCCTCTTTTACACTCAGACTACATATTAAATTTATTACATCTCTCGTAGGAAGTATAATAAATTTTTTGCTGTAACTTTCAATGAAATATTTCACATTGTTCAGTAAAGTGTAGATTGAATTTAAAAAAAAAAAAAAAACTTTTAGACGTTACTGTATGAATAAACGCGTTCGATTAAAACATATTTTTTGATAGATAAGTCGATATGTTTTTAATAAATTTAATTAATTACTCAGTATTGCGTTATGAAGTAATCTAGAGAAATTTTTATCAACAAATATGAAGATGAGAATTGATTTGAATAAGTTTTCATCGATAAGAAAAATCATTATGAAATGAAATCTCTTGAGCTTTAAAGTTGATCGTAAAGTAAAAGTAGAATCAAATTTATTATGGACGGAATGGAAATAAATTAAAGAACATCTTTTAGATTAATTTAGAATTTTAAAAAATTCTCAGTTCCTTCATTAAAAGCGTGCTTTCCAGAAATGTGATATTTATTGACTGTTTCTATTTTAACTGGTTCAGTTAATACTGGTTTCGTTTATTCAGTTACTTTACAAATGTAGAGTAGCATACATTATGAATAATTTTCAAGGTGAAGATAATTTACGATATTTGATAGTTAAAAAAATCAATCTCTGAAATTGCTTTGAGACATTTTTTTCTTTTAGTTTAATTATTCACGGGTTTCATATTGCACTTTCGCATTATACTTGCAATATTGCTACTCTTTCAAAAAATTTTATTTGATTCATTAGTACAGCAATTTTTCTTTAGAAGTTTATTTATTACTTGAAAAATTTCTCGACTCTTATTATTGTCACTAAAATTGTTAGTAACAGTTCATACTTAGCGTAAACATATCCATATTATTACAAGATTATCACATTGGTATGTTTGCTATACAAAGGAATCGTTCATTGAAATGCAAGTTTAATTTGTGATAAAATAGATATATCACTTCTCTCCCAGAAAAAAAATAAATAAAAAATTAATTTTTTCGATTATCCAACTTCCTTCGTTAATTGTTTATAAAATTTTTTACTAATTCACAAACACGAGAAAATAAAGTTGAGATACTTTTTTTAGCGATTTTTTTTATCGTCTGGAGTATTTGAAACATCTCAATTATTAAATCTTCATAAAATATGTACAATAATTTTTGAGTAATCTCATGATTGCTTTAGTTAAGTTTCAATTATTTACACATTAAGTTTAATTTATTTACATATATATTAGTTTAAAGGATAAATATTATAAGAATGCTTGAATTTTACAATTAAATTGTTGCATTTTGATGACAAGAAGAAGGATAAATTCTTCATTACGTAACTTCCATGACATTGAATGAAACTTTTTAAGTTTGGCTAACTTCTCAAAAAAATTACTTGATTTAACTCTATTCTTTAACAACATTTCGAGCACTTAAGCTACTTAATATTTCAGCGCATTAAAATTCTCCACCAATGAAAACATTTTCTAAAATAAAATGTTTTTCAGTTCGTCAAGGGGATAATTAAATCATCCATTACAAAAATATTACTAGATTTAAAGAATTAAAAGGGAAAAAATGCATTACCATGTAATTCTTAATGCTATTATTTCAGTACTTTGTACCTCTTTGATCAGGTTTCAAGGTTCACTCATTTTAATCAACTCAAATTTTTTGACCATTTTTTCTCACTTATGCTTTTTCCAAACTTCACATCATTAATTTCTCTAAATCGTAAATTTTTTGTCTCAAAAAAAAAAAAAACATCACTCAGTCATAATTAACTCATTTGTTTATTAACAATGCTTTTTTATTAATAATTTTAACACTTCATTTTTCAATATACACACCACGAGATTCTTCAAATATATGAATTCTTTTTGTTTGAATGATAAGTTTCTAATACTCTGAGGGAATCATATGAATTTTCAAATAACATCCGCGCGATACGAGAAGCGGCAACTAAATGTAGTAGTTTTTACGCGGGGACAGCAAGTATTGGAAAGCCTGCGCTTGCGGATTGTCGTGGCTTTGCGCTTGTCCTGCCAATATGTTGAATAAGTGTCTATCGAGTGAAACTTAGAATCGGTGAATATAAAATTGTTTTTATAAAAGCGTTGGAAAATAGAATCAACTATCGCGCTATTAGCATATCTATTTCAATCAATTGGTTGATTACCTCCATCAATAATTGTCATCAATTAATTTTTCTGCAAAAAAAGCAAACCTCTATTATGATTTAAAGAGTTGTTCCTTATGCTGTGCACTTATTTATTTATTTATGTTTGATTCATTAAATATCCCGTACGAAAAGAAATATTATTTCAAAATATATTGGAAATATTTATATTTACCGTTAAAATATATTTTATTATATTTTCATTTATAGATAAAAATATATTTATCATGCATGTATTTGGTAAGATATGATCTTGGAGTATATTCAGAATACATGACTTTCTGCCAAAAATATATTAAGATTATATTCTATATAGTAAAAATATATTTTTAGGATTTATTTTTTCCACAAAAAATTTTATGCTATTCAAAATATTAATAGAGAATCAATAAAAATTTTTATGATTTCATTTATCGTAATTATTCTTAATTATAATAAATTGTATTGTTTATAAATACTATTGAAATATTTTTTAATATTTAGTTATGAATTAGTGCGTGTAGCTTATGCTTATGAGAATCGAGTGTTGTTTGTTTTATTTATTTATTTATTGTATTTTCATCTTCGATTTATGACATATATTATTATATAATAAAAATTTTTGTAATTTGTCATTTTTGAAAATAAATATATATTGAGCATTTATTTTAATTATATCCCTAGTTAGAGCCAAGTGTTTTACAACATTTCCTCCTTATCCTTACGCTCATTCCCTGTAGGTTCTCCTCCTCCCTCTACAGGCTCACCACTTCCATTCTACCCGATAAACTATTACTCACATAGTCCTATCAGGTTGCGTCTGTAGACGACTTACACCTCAATCATTGTATCACATTTGCACGAAGACACAGAGAAACTGCAGTCAACCTATGTCGATACAACCGGCTCTCCGAAGACATCCTCCCGCTCAGGATGGCCAGAGAAAAATCACATAAATGATTTTTTGATTCTTTAAATATAAATAAAATAATATTTAATCGTTTGTCATCACTATTATTTAATTCTTTTAAATATTTTTATCTTCAAGTATTTTTAAGAATGTTTCTTTTATATTAATGTTGATGATAAAATAAACAATGTTTGCTTTTTTTACGTTTTTTCAATTTTACATGAATAAATTTATTGGTTAAAATGATTTAATTAGCAATAAAACTTTTGGAAATGCGAACTTTCTTCTGCCTCATTCAAGCTCGCAAATATATCATCTTTTTTAAATTGGATACAAGACTGCATACAAATATGAATGCATCATTAATAGGCTTACTCGGATAACATTGAAGAAACCATATGGCGATTTGTTAGCTCACAGAAATTCGAATGTTCAATTGAGAGGAAATTTTATTATTGAAAACGAAAATGATTATTATGCTTTAATCGATAGTATGATAATAGAATAAAATATATAGTAATAATTTTATTAATGTACATTTTATACTAAGCAGATTGATTGTAAATTAATTATCAATATTTCTGATTGTTTTTGTATCAAAATGTCAATATATGTGTATTATGTAGTCTATAACATCAAAATATTTGATATGAGTTTCAATTAAAGTTTTGCAATTTTATCGTTTCATTAAATATAGTTTATATTCGAAAATTGTTCTTGTTATTTTTGAAATAATTTTAATTTAAAAATTTATTATTATTTATTATTAAAATGTTTTATTACAACTTTAAGAACAATACAATTTATAGAACAAAAGGAGAGAAATATAATTTATAAGTTTCATTTTAATTAAACTTTTCTACTAATTTATAATTTAAAATATCATTTTTTAATATTCAATTGTTTATAAGAACTTTTTTTACATAGCCTACCTAAGGAAGCAATTTTTTAAAAAAAAAAGTTTGAAAAATAATTTTTTAGAAACACCTAAAGCTTAATTTGCATCTTTTATATTGTAAAGTTAAGTAAATAATGTATAATTGAAAATTTTAACTTTTTATTAAAAAAAAATACCCATCAACGTTATGAGGTGAAAAATGAATATGCATAATTTGTACATTCAACACCTTAATGAAAATAACTTCCCACTGGGAAGTTAAAAATGACAAGATAATTTGATTTTATGAAGAATTCATTAATTCGTTGAATACAACTACATTGACATTTCTAGCAAATAATA